TTAGGAAGTTAGATTTGTTAGTAAAATTAATGTAAGTCTACTACTTAAAAGGGTCGTTGTAGATCTATCAGTTCGAACTCCTAATTTTTTCTCACTACACCATAAGGTGCAGCTACACTCCAACTTACCATAACGAAGTTGACAAAAAAAAAAAATTAGCCTTTTAAGTAATGCTACGTATCATGAAATAAATATCATGAAACATTTCATGAAACTAATCCAAGGTAATAAAACACTACAAACATTATAAATTAATCCAAAGGTGGAAAATCTTCACGAAGACTTTTCATGACATTATTTTCATGATACCTAGCATTATGCATCTTTAAAATATGTGATTTGTGTTATTTTTTATTTTCATGACATTTATTGCGAAGTTAGGTTAAGAACCAAATTAAAATATTTTTATTAAATTAATATAATTTAAACATTGAAAATTAAAATAGCATAAAACTCCATATATCTTTTTTCTATAGTTCAAAATATATTTTTCGTTTTTTAGTATTTTAGACCCAAAGAACAAAACCAATATATCAGCCATTATTTTTTCTGACAACAGTTATTTGAATATTTTTTTAATTTAATATTTCACCCAAAGATAAAACCAATTTTATGTTTATGTTTACAATTGCCTATGAGAAAAGGAGAACAATAGAAAAGATCAAGTGTATGTTTGGTTTAATTTTTTTAAAATTATATTTAGATGAGTTTTTATTTATTTTTATTGAATATTTTTGATAATTTAATAATTTTTTGTACTTTTTAGATGTACTTAATAAAGATGTATCTTAAAAATAAAATAAATTGACTAAAAATATTTTAAAAAATCACTGAAAACAAAAAAAAAAAATCCGACAAACATCTGTGTGAATTTTTGTTTATGTTTATTGTATTTTTTGTAATTTTTTTTTCATATTTTAGTTAAAAAAATTTATTTCGTGGATGCATCATAAACGATTTTTTTTGGGGGGTATAATTTCAGGTATCTATTTATCTAAATTATAGGGAAAAATAAGTTAAAATAATTTGGACAAATAAATAAAAATACCAGAACATATAGATTAAAATAATTTAGACAAATAGGTTAAAAATATGGGGACACAAGTGTTAAAAGTATGAGGACAAATAGATTCAAATATGAGGATAAATACATAAAATAAAATTTGGAAAGATGGCTAAAAAATTTGGGATAGATATTGGACATATAGATACAATATTGGGACACAATTCGGACATATATGTCCAAATATGGAGACAAATAGATAAAATAATTTAGACAGATAGGTATGTTGTACGAAAAAAAAATTAGTGTTAAAATTTCAATATGTCATAACTTTGCGTAGATAATATGTTTTGGATGAATTATTTTTTTATTCAGTCTATTTTTTGGAGATCTATCCATCCGAAGGCAATTTTGAGCGCTTATTTTTTTTTTATTATTATTTTGCTGTTTTGATTGATTGAAAAATTAATCTATTCACTCTTTTTTGTTTGTTTGTTTTTGTTTTTTGTTTTTTGTTTTTTTTTTTGAAATTTCATGTTCAATATTGATTTTGTTTGAAAAATCTCGAAAAAACAAATATACATATATTAATTTTGTTAAAAACGAATGTAGAATTCAAGTTATGAGATTTAAAAAAATTTAACCAGCAAACTTGGATGCTCTCCCCAAAACACTCCCTGTCTGTTTTTCTTTTTGAATATCTTATAAAATTATAAAATCATGTGTAATTGAACTATTTGGCAATTAAACTATTATTTTTTTAATAACTTTATACAATTCCTACAAAGTCCTGATATCAATTTATTTGAGCTTTAAACTAATTTTTCTTAGTAACTTTATACAACTATACTTAAAAATAATTTTTTGTATTTATAACGAGCAAAATAGCAAAATGTGATGGCCAAAAAATCAGATAATTTTTTAGTAATTCCGAAATATAGACACGTTCTATAATATTGGGACGTTCTAAAAAGTTGGTAAAAAATTGACTTTTTGACTTTTTTGGTGATTTTTTTGACAAAAAAGCGGACTTTTTTGGTTAAAAAAGCTAACAAGTCAAAAAGTTAACTTTTTTAGCTTTTGCCAAAAGAGTACATTGTGATTGGTGGAAAAAATAAGTAAGTAAAATATTGTATTAGGTGATTGAAAAATATGAAAAGACAAAATAAATAATGATTAGTTAAGAAATACAGACATATGATATTTCAAGAATAGTCTATAATTTTCCCAAAAAATCAGTGCCAATATCCCATGCATGGCCAGGTCAACGACTAGTGTTTTTTTAAAGAATAAAAATGAAGTCAACCAAGAAGGATCTATACAACCAAATTATGGACCTCTAAAAAATAGAAAGAATTGCTCTTAGAGAGAGCCATATTTTCATTTCTTATATTTTTTCAATTTTCAATAAAGAACACAACAGTAAATGATGACATTAATAATACTCGATAGCATTTTTTTGCTTCAAGTAATTGCAATTTGCTTCACTATCATCTACAGCGGCATCAATCTTCGGTACTTGAAAAACCACAAAAATGAACAAAATATGACGATTCCAGCTACTCCTGTTATTACTAGCACCCACTTGAACGCACCCTCGTCATCAAACAATGGTATTGGAAAATTCATGCCAAATATCCCCGCTACCACGCCAAATATCGCAACCACAAATGTTGCAGTTGTCAGTAGCAGCTCGAATTGTATAAGCTGGTTTCGAACATTATCCTGGGAAAAAAAATTCAAAATCAAATTTCAAAGTTCAGATGTGGCCTTCTGCCTGAAACAACACCAAATACTACAATGTTATTGTTACAATCATTCAAAAAGCTCAATTTTAACTGCATCTTTAACTTGAAACTCAAAGGGTATTAACCACCTGGAGATTTTAAGTATACATAATGAGCGCGCTGTCTGCCAAGCTAGAGGCAGGAGCAGCAGGCAAGTGCTTGATAGACCTTTTGCCCAGTGATCTGGGCTACTCAAAATTAAGAGGGGTAGCCACTAAGAAGAATGAAATCCCGAACAAGTCCAATAAGACTTCCTTTCAAGTAATAGGGACAGTCTAATACTCTCAACTCCTGATCTATGAAGCCCGGACACTTCTAAGAAGGTGGACACTCATCAAAATATGTATTAATATTTTTTGACTTTTTTAGACCCAGACAATCTTTGGACTCTTGGGAAACACATGTCCATCACGTGGACACACATGAAACAATTATAAGTTTGAACAAAGTAACCTAAGATGCAAAGCTAAAAGAAAGATAATGTAGATTTATGAAAATTAGTATGATGTTGCATTATTTTTATTATCTTTGAATAATATATTCATATATATATATATATATGAACATACAAAAAATAATTAAAACTATATATTTTATGCGTATCCTGCACGTGACGTGCTCTACATTTTTTAAAAATTGTGGTGTTGCCGTGTCCGTATCTTATCGCTTGCCTGTGTTCGTGCTTCTTAGCTCCTAATGCAGGAGTGGGAATCTAAGGGGTTGTTTGGAATGTTTTAAATAAGTGCACTTTTTGACTTTTTATGAAATATGAGTTGAGTTTGAAGTGATGTGGCTTAAATAAGATGATGCGACTTAAATAGGATAGTGACTTTTTGACTTTTTTAGGGGATGTCAAACCTAGCCTAATGAGGAGAAAGCTTTCGAAAGGCACTGAACCTCCCAATCAAATTGAATATTAACATTCGTAATAATCAACTTCTAGTTATAGAATCATCTACTGATTTCCGACATACTAACTGGCAGAACTTCCTCTTTATTTAAGTTTACAGAAGTATTGCACATACATGATCCACTCTAAATATAACCAGGTTATTTTTAAGATGAGCCAGGGATTCTTACCAGCTGAATGTTGATGAAATCTTCTGTGTCATCAATGTACTCCCGTAGCTGAAATGAAGGAAACAAACAGATTATTAAAACATTTCCACCTTAGTTAAAGGAATGTGAAAAGACAAAGCATAATGAATCACTGTAGATACCGATGTGAGCTTGTTGAGGGTGCTGTCAATGACAACAAAGTAGGCCTCCAACAACATCTCCAGTTCTGCAATACTCTCTGTAGCACTTTCAGTACTACTTCGTGTGCTCTCGTGACGGCTCCTAGCAGTACTCAAGCTTTTCTCGAGCTTCCTACTCTCGGGGGGTGAAGAAACGGGAGAAACTGGAGCTGAAGCAGACTGCACACCGTCAGTTGATCGGTATCCCATTAGAGCTTGGTCGCCGTAGAATGATGATTCCATCCGCATTTTTTTTTCAGTGAGATACATTTCGGCCATATCTCCATCATCATCCATCAGCTGCTCTATCTCATCCCTAACCTATATGAAGAAGAATGAAAATGGAGAGACAAAATAATATATTAATCAAAGATCTGCAACCATTTGTGTGCACAAAATAGTAAAATCAATTAGGAAAACACAAAACCTTTTGAACTCGTCGAGTTAAGGCAACAAGTCTACTTTTCAGTCGACGCACACGTTCCAAGTTTAAGGTGCTGATCTTCGACGTGAGTTCATCTAACAGTGGATATGCTTCAATTTCTAATTCTGTTGCCTGAGTAATTCAGAAATTTCAAAACCTCACGAGTGCGCAACCAATTTTTTATTTGGAGATAATGCAAGCTCAGAACAATAATATCTTCATATTATCAAAGAAACTGGAAATTTTATCAGGATAAAATGGGTATATTTAAGAATGCCTTTCCAATTTTAGAAAATCTAATTAATCGAGCAATATCACAAAAACCATCACTACCTCCATATGATGACAATATAGAAACATCCTCTATGTGCAGACCTGCATGATGACGCAATGCAATATCCTATTTCAGATATATTCTTCTTTGGTGGATCTAACAGATATTGATATATATATATATATGTATGTATGTATGTATACATATGCAAGTATGATTCCCTCCCCAGTAAATATGAAAATGTTACTGGAAGTTTAATTAACAAAAGCAAACCCAAATTCATTATTCAATTTGAAACATGCCCTCTACACCAAGGTCATGTTTGCATAGGCAGATTGAATTAGATGAGATTAGCATTCCTAGGACTAGGATTATCAATATGAGGAGGAATTAAGAAAATCCTATCAATTTTGCAATTTAACCAAATTAGTCCAAACCTATTCTTAGTCCTCGATTTTGGATTGTCCCACGTTTGGATTCAATATATGGGGGATACTATGACTGAATGGACTCTTAGTTCAGACCTCAATTTTCTTAACCAAACACTGGATTGTGCATTTTGTTTGACTATTAATCCAATCCCAAGGCCATATCCACCCAAACAAACATGGCTCAATTGTTTTCAAAATTATAATATCATCCTTACAACATGAGAAATAGCAGTTTCGACTACATCTTTGTTCTCTTGGCACCTTCATTTCTAAAGTTCAGATTATTTTTTTAGGAAAAAAAGAAAAAATAAAGAAAAAGAACAAAATTAAGAAGTGTGTTTATTGTCTAATGCACAAACAAGGGCAACCCAGTGAATGAGGCTCTCATCACTACAGGATCTGAGGAAGGTTAGATGTATGATGCTGCCTTAGCCCTGCATGCAGAGAGATTGTTTCCGTGTTTCAAACCCATAAGACCAGGTCAAAATGGAGCAACCACACCACTACCCCAAGGCCTGGCCCCAATTCTTGTCTAATGTAGACATACAAAATTTCTAACAATTCAATACTGGCAAGGTTTTCTTACCTGAATTCTTTTGTGAACTTGGAACATCAAGTCAATGAATCTCCTAAAAAAGACCAGTTTCAACTATAAAATATCTTCTGGTTGTTCCCCATTTGCCTTGCTATGAAACTTTTGTGCTTCATAAGGGAACTATCCCATGTGGAAAAGGAAATGCATAATGCAAAAAAAAAAAAAAAAAAACTAAATTTAAGTTGAACACACACACACACACACACAAATCCATTTGAATCTAGGGTATTGAAGTTTCTCTAGGTTTAATGAAAAAGGAAAACCAGAGTGTTGAGCAGCAACGCCTCCCCATCCATGTGCAAGCCTCAGATTACAACTTACAAAACTACATGGGGGATATCAAGTTAAGGAAAAGCAAATCATTGTTGAGATCAAAATGCAATCCTTGCCACCAAATCTACATAGAAATGGCCTCCTAAAAACGAAAAGCCAAAGGGACACACCATCACAAATTCCAATAATCAAGATAGTGAAGTCTACAATAATTTTCTTTATTGTGTCAGTCTTATAGCTTACCAAAAAGCAAAAAAGAGATGCATATTGCCTTTGAGGGCGCAACATCTCCACTTCTTTCCGGTGACAAATGCCTTCCAACCAAGTTGAAGGATGCAACATGCCTTCAATCCCATCATATCATAAATAAAGACAACTCTTTCCATATAAGTGAAAGATGAAATGCTTTTCAAGCCTAATTAGTAACACAGAGTTTTGCATTCTTCTAATGAAAGTCCAGACTCACAGTTAAAAAGCACATCAGTCACTCCCACCGACCATGATGAGAGCACCAGTTGCCTTTTCCACCCTATATATACCTCCTCTTCTTCTACTGGCAATGATGGGAACACTAACAGTAAGTGAAAGATGAAATACTATTCTCAGCCACATGATTTTCACATTCCTCCAATTAAATTCAGGAGTCACAGTTAGATATCAATCACTCCCACCGACCATGATGAGAGCATCAATTGCCTTTTCTTCCCTATATACAGCTCCTCTTCTTCTCCTACCAACCATGATGAGAGCACCAACAACTTTTTCTTCCCTATATATACCTCCTTTTCTTTTTCTTTTCTTCTTCTCGTTTTCTTTTTTCATTTTTTGGGGGTGATTAAAGTTCCACATTTTGCACTCAAATTTTAGTTTATGCTCAACAGTAAGGGGTTGTTTGGGATAACCTAAATAAGTGTACTTTTTGTCTTTTTACGAAAAGATATGCAGAAAAGTAGGGAGGTGATGTGATGGAAAAAAGATAAAAAGATGAATTATTTGGGACTTCCCAGACTTGGCCTAAATAGCAATTCCCTTTTTTCTTCCTCCTCCTCTACCCTTTTGTCCTCGACGGTTCCTGATAATGTTCCATTGGTCATATGAAGCTCGCTAATCTCTATTAGACACACTGTCCACGGATCTTCATCCTTAGGACTTTAATTCTATTTAACTACAATGAATAAAAGACCAAAAACTAACCTAATGCAGGCCATTACAGAAACTCAATGTATCTTGCTCTTTACCAGCTTCTGCTGGTTCCATCTTTCCACAGAGGTCTCTCATCAGATGCGTGCACCAAATTTTGGCATGAGTTCTTCCGTAATTTAAAGTAAAATATTGATTGCAATATGCAAAAATCTTATGGCAGTACAAAAATGGTGCTGATGAATGTATATTTTGTGAAACAGACTTATCCCTAATAAAATGATTAAAAAAAAGAAGAAGAAGAAAGCATGTAAGAAAGAAAGACCGACATCTAAGAAGCAAAACTGAAACAGAGCCCCTTCTTTACCCAATGTGAATGAGGTCTTATCCATCTGCTACCAGAACTCAGAATGAGGAGCAGAGACAATCATATGCATCATCCTTTCTAGACAATTACACATTAAGTCAGTATGCTTCAACTTTTATAGTTTGTAAACCTACCCCCCCCCCCCCCTATGAAGGATTCTTGATATTTTTGCCATCTTCCATTACACAGCTTTTATATCTTCACTAAGATTTCTCATCAAAGCAAAGTCCACCTTTTACCATTCAAGTCCACCGATGTACATTTCTTAGATCAAATTCTAAACATACACTTTTAAATTGTCCCAACAGTCAATGCTGGCATCATATTACAAAGGGTGTCCAGATATTAACTTAACCTCTCAATGACTCCACGATGTGGGATTACAAGTTTCTTGAAGGTTACAATGTTACAAAAAAGTAGCAAGCATTCATGTCCAAAAGCAGTCAATCAGTCATCCAACAACTTCCATTGATTTAAACAGTTGGTATACTAGCTATGAATTCTAAAATATATGTATCATACAATATGGTGGTTCTTTTTTGGTACGCACCTGAGAATCAAGAAATGTACAGGCAGCCTCCAGAGCAATTTCAAGAGCCCTAAACTCAAAGGGCAAGTAATCAGGTGACACGCTCCCAAACATGTTGTCAAAACTCTTATTTCCTCTCCTGCTCAACTCATTACGTTCTGACTGCCAAACCTCACCTACACCAGCAGTTGTCAACCGCCGTTGTAGCTCCGCCACATAGTGAAATACATAGCTATCAAGAGAATTCAAAAGAAGAACCTCATCAGCTGTGATAATACATCGAATTTGCTCAAGATTAACAACAATGGCCTTCTCTCTGCCAAGAATTGTTGACGGGTATACGAATAATGGATCAAGCAAGCGTAGATCACGGGCAGGAAGATCACAACGACGCATCATTGTGAACTTGTCAACCTCAATCACTTGGGAGTTCCCTGATGCATCAACATGAATCCATGATCGAAGGCCTTGGCCACGCTTTTTCAGGCCTACAACATCCACAACTTGAAAGGGTTGACGACCAGAGGCAGAAGGTCGATAAGATGGGTCTCTAAGATTTGCAGCTGATGCAGGTTTTGGTGGGAGTAGGCGTTCTTTGAGGTCTGGCATTAAAAAAGAGCTTTGAATGCTGCGTGAAATGAAAGACATGAAGGAGCAAATGTTACGTAAACCATCAAAAAGCGGATTCTTCACGGTAAATTTGGCCAAAATAGCCCTTATCTAATGCCCATGCCAATAGGAACATGATTCTGCACCTAAAATGTGTAGAAGAAAACTTCTAAAAACAAGTATTGATAGTGATCAGGTAAATGGGTTACTTGGACAATCTCATTTTCATGGATTTTTTTTTTTCTACGTCCAAATATCTTATAATTTTTTTTATTTATTGGAGTTCTTATGGATTTTTAATTTTATATTATTTGGGGGTATTTCTATGATATCCAAAAGCAGGTAAAACATCACAAGAAAAAGATTCATGCAAACTTCACAAAGCTTAAAATTGAAGACTCCAATGGGGTAAATGTGAAATATGCAAAAGAAATTGGTTCCACAACTCAAATAATTGTTGTTCACATAGAATTAAAAAGATCTGAAAGTAAGAAAGAAACGAAAATATTTTCCCAATACCTTATTACAGTGAAATGATTTTGTTCTTCAAACATAAGCTTGCTAGAAGGATAAAAGGGTGTAAGAACATATTAGCAATGACTTCTTTGTTCATACAGACGGACACACGCACAAACATATATTTGTATTCTCAATTGTCTTGCAATTCTAGTTTTAGTTTTAAGATGTAAACTGTAGCAACTCTTTATCATAGAATATATTCTCTTAGTTGTAACCATCCAATCAATTTTTTATTTTTTTTTTAAAATATTCATTGTAAGACTTAATAACTGTTCTAATCAAGTTTGGAACCTTTCCCAAATAATAAGAGTTAACCAAGCTTTATACTCCTACTATTTTAGAATTGGAAACAAAATCCAATTTGCCATTCATCTTTGTTGAAATTCGCTGCAATTAACCACAACATCAACAACAACGAACACATTAACTGTATTTTAATTGAACACATTTACCAATATAGGGCTGGCCCTTAGAACATTTGTGGTCTAAAGCGACAACAAAAAATGAGGCCTTCTACATTTTAAATTTTTTATTGAAAATTTATTTGCCTAACTTTTTGAGGTCTTAATCTTTCTTATGACATAGTTGATTTAAGGTAAAAAAAAATTCAATTTTAATTTTGAATAACTTTTTTATGGGGAAACAACTACTAGTATTCTAATGATATTTTGTAAAAAATGCATGCATTTGGAAAAAAATCTAATCATTTTATATAATTTAGTACATTAATTAGAGTGCTTTCTTCATCAGTTTAAAAAAAAAATAAAAATTTGTTTGAAGAATAACTTCTTTTAGTTGGACACTGAGAAAATAATCTCATTTTCACGATGGTACAAGTCTCTGTGGTGCAAATTTTTTTATGTTTGGTACAAATCTTTTCTGTGTTAGACATGCACAAAAAAAATAAATAAATAAATTCTACCGATAGTTTAATTATTTTATATCTGTTTCATTTGTTTTTAATTTTTAAAAAAAAATGTGACTAAGAGAGAGAGAAAATAGGTTAATTTTTTGGAAGTAGATATTTAATTAATATTTAATTATTTTTTAATCATCTTGGTCTCTGCTAACCAGACTTGCTCCAGACGTATTCTCGTTTAGAAATCAAACAAGTAATAATTTCCTTACACACAACGTTACATTTACTTTTTTTTTTCTTTTTTTTTCTTTTTTTCATTTCACGGTACATCAATAATTAGATCGAAAATACACAACAATAGGGAGGCCGACCTATTTCAACCAATATATATATATATATATGCATATAATTATTATATACACCTAAAGCAAAAGCTTTGATGACTTTATGCTTGAGCCGACCCTGTATCAATAAAATGGCATTCAAACTAAAAAAACTAACAAATTGAACTCAATTCCCAAACAAAGAACAAAAAGCCAACAAAGAGTTGTTGAATACAAATCTAAACAAGATCAAAACCAGAACAAACATCTATATTAGTACAAGTTACCTCCAATGAGAAAGTTAGGGTTTCTTTTCTCACAGGAGTCGAATTTTCTGCCACCGCCGATCAACGATTGGATCATTCGAGAATCTGCAAAGAAAATAAGGATGATTATTCAATCAATACATATATGTATATAAAAGTATACATGTGCGTATGTACCGGAATGTGTGTGAATCGGAGAAGAGTAGAAGATCAGATTCGGAATCGAGGAGAGTGCGTATCCGATAGATCCGCAAATTCTTTTTTTTTTTTTTTCTTTTTTTTTTAACTGTTCCGCAAGTTTATTCGGTTAAGGCAGCGATGAGCTAACGTCACACGGGTGGTCCCATTAGATTGGTAAAAATTTTAATAATTTAATTAGATTCCTAGTATAACTGTTTTTGGATTTGCTAAAATCAAATATATTAATGAGTGCATTTAACATTCATTACCATATGATGACATTTTGAAAACATTTATGACAAACACGACTTAGGAATGATTTAGAATGTTATAAATAAGTATATTTTATAAATTGTGTATAGGTTGAGTTTGAAGTAATGTGGTAGAGAGGTGATGTGATTTAAATAAGATAATGTGACTTAAACAAGATAGTAACTTTTTAACTTTTTTAGTATACGCCAAACAAGAGTTTAAAACTTGAGATGTGAGTTGACTTTTTTAGTCTTTTGGTTATTTTAATTTGAAACTAAAAAATCTTATTTGAGATAGATTTTTAAAATTTTTTAATTTTTATGACACAAAAAATAAAATTATTATAAATTTGATATGATATTTTATCTTATTTAATTTAAATAATTTATTTTGTTTTTATATGGCTATTTTAATAAAAAATAAAAAAATCTAAGAGTATAACCGTGAATTAACATGTCCACAGCAGAAGCTGATAATCAGAAGCAAGGGGTGAGCAGCTTCTCAGAATCAGCTTTTTTGACTTGAAATAAGTTTAACCAAACAGTCCAAAATAACTTTTTAAAAGCCAGAAGCCATAAGTTGGCTTAAAAAAGCTGTACCAAACACCCCCAATGTGACTTAAATAAGATAGTAACTTTTTAACTTTTTTAGTATACGCCAAACAAGAGTTTAAAACTTGAGATGTGAGTTGACTTTTTTAGTCTTTTGATTATTTTAATTTGAAACTAAAAAATCTTATTTGAGATAGATTTTTTAAATTTTTTAATTTTTATGACACAAAAAATAAAATTATTATGAATTTGATATAATATTTTATATTATTTAATTTAAATAATCTATTTTGTTTTTATATGGCTATTTTAGTCCAACGACCTGCCAAACGAATGATGACGTTTTGAGAAGTGTATTTTTTTGAATTTTTTTTTTTGTATCTATTTTTATTTTTAGTGAATTTATTTTTAAAAAATTAGGTTTTTCATCTAACTTGACAAGACGGATTGAAAATCACATTTTTTTAAAAAAAAATCAAAAAATAATTAGAAAAGACAAAAATAAACAATAAGTAATTTTTTTTGGCTTATTTTCGTTATTTAGTGATTTTTTTTTTTAATTTTTCAAAAAAAATATACTTTTTAATTTGGCTCAATAAGACGGACCGCAAAAATAAATAAAAAAATTGATATAATTTTGAATTTTTTTTATTAAAGTCAAAAAACTTGAAAAAATAGGTGATTGTTTTTTTTGGTTACCAAAATATTCATATTAAAACTTGATTGGATTTAATAAGTAATCTTGAGATAAAAATATGACTTATTGATAATTTTTTCAAAATTAAATGCATCAAACATTAATAATCATATAATAAAATCACATATATTGTAATAAATGGGTGATTTATTTGAAAAAACATATGTATCTTATATACAAAAAATGATCTGATTATATTATAATTAATGTTAGATCAACTTAATTTTTTAAATAAACAATTTTATAAGATAAATTATTTAAATCATCAAAATAGTAAGTTAGCTCCGTAATAAATCAACTTCACTGTAACATTGAAATTTGTAAGGGTAAATTACACAGATAATCCTTGCATTTTATTTCTATGTATCATTTTAGTCTCTATAATTTCAATTAGTTTAATTTTGACCCTTAATTTTAGATTTGATGTCAATATAATCTAATTGATAATGTCGATTAAGAGTTTTAGAAGAAAATAGTTACTGAGTTTGATTAATGAGTTGAACAAGATATAATTTTGCCGATAATTATACAACGTATACACATTTTTCGTTAAAAATATTAATAATTGTAATCAATTAAACTAAACTGAGACAAAATCATACATTTTTGATCAAAATTAAACTAATTAAAATTACAAAAATCAAAATAACACAAAGAAAAGTATAAAGACTACCACTATAATTTATTTAATTTTTAATTTTAACAAATCTAAATTCTAAAGATAATACGGATAAATATACCTTCCTTGATATGATGAACAAAAAATCATTTAAAAGTAGCATCCGAATTATAAAAAAAAAAAAAAAAAAAAACTGCTTTAAAAGCCCGCATTTGTATTATGGGCCAGGGAAATATATTAGAAGTTTGCACTATTTTATTTATTTATTTATGTATTTGATAAGAGATTATTTACACTATAAAAAAAAAATTACTTCTAAACAGTTATATTTCCATAATTACAGAAGCCCAATAACATCTCATAATGGAGAAAAATAACTCATGTAATAATCCATCAATATAAGAAAGAGTCTCATTCTAAGAAAGAAATGAATAATACAACAAAAAATCTGATAATAAATGAGAAATTATTAACACATTACTAGAGTTAATTTCTTACACTTATCATGCCAAATTATGACATTGACACAATTAAGCAGTTTTATTTTCTTTCAATTTCACAATCAGTTTTTTGAAAAGATAGAAATTAGTTTGACAAAATAAACACTAAAAAGATATTTTTAAATTTTGTAAAAATTATTTTCACTCTAAAAATTGTAAAATCATATGAAAATGATAAGCGTTTTTTATTTATTATTATTATTATTCACTACATTAGTTTTAAAAATAAAAGTTTCAAAAAACCAAACAAAATAAAAACTTTTCCTATTATTTTGAGCATATTTTCTCAATAAGCCAGTAAAATGCCGATTGCCTAGTAATTTAACTTTGTTTGATTTTGAGTTTTTAGAAATAATTTTGGAGTTTTTAAATTTTTTGTTTTTCATTTTTGTTGTTTTTAGTAAACTTTTTTCATAGTTTAATCATTTTTATTTTTTATTTTGTAGATACATTTAAACTAAATGCACTTAAAAATGAAAATATTTGTGAAGAAATATAAAAATAATTAAATACAAACAAAAAATATATAAACATGCATTGAATTATATATTTTTTTGTATTTATGAATTTTTTTTATACTTTTTAAGTATATAAATCTAGAAAATTAAAATATTTAAAAAATTTACTAAAAGTAAAAAATATATAAATTAAATTCTTTTTTAAAAAAATTATTCTTTGAAAACTCTGAAAACCAAACAAAAATTTGTTGGTGGTTAAGATAAGGCAATTGGGTTAGTAATTCATACATTTGTCTCTTGAGATTGTGGGAAGGTAAAAAAATTTAGAGTTTAAATTGATAAATCGACTACAATCTTTTCGTAATAATCTAACTTACTAACTTCTAACATCTTATTAAAAATAAAAAATAAAAATTGTTGGATGAATGGGGAACAAAAATGACCTGACCTGTTATGAGCCATATATTTACATGTGGTGACCATTTCCTGTCCCTTCCTTTATTTTAGTTAAAGTAATGTTACGCTAATATTTTTTTTTATGAGTTATTTATTTATAAATTTTTCATCACTTATTTATTTTATAATTAATTTAAATTATTTTGTATATTTTAATAAATTTTATAGGTAATATAATTGTTAAAATATTTCTAATAATAATGGGATAAAAAGCCACATTGACATTATGAATATTCACATTATCAAATAATGTTCACATCAGCAAGTTGTTAAATATTCAAAAAATATTTATAAAAGTAAAATTACCCATAAAATACCTTAAATATAATAATTAGGATTTGATAAATCAAATGTTCAAAATAATAGGATTTATTGGAATATAAAAATATCTTATAAACTAATTAGGATACGGATAGAATTTCCTAATAAATTTTCCTTTTTTTATATTACTTTTGGTATTTTGCTTCATGTGTTAACGTTATGTTAAAGATAATGTGGGTGCAACTTAGGGCCCAAGGCCCTGTCTGTTTTCAGAGGTAGAATATAAGAGATTGATAGCGAGGGGATTAAAGTAAAATTGTATTTATTTTTATGGTAGTTTTTAATGTGAAGATTGTTAAATTATTATTCTATAAAAGAAATATAAAATATTAAACAAATAAAATTATCATTTTTACTTAACAAAAAATAAAAAAAAACATTAAACATTAATGTTTAAAAAAAAATGCCCAACATGTAAATAAAAAAATAAAAAATAAAAAAACCTAATCCCATAGGACTAATTTCCTAATACCATTTACATATCTTCCATCTCAATCCCAACTCCAAGGCCCATCCTAATCTCATGGGATTATGAATCTTCTCTCCATCTTCCAAAATAAACACAACATATAGTGGGTTCTATCTCCATCTCAATCCCAATCCCAATCCCAATCCCAATCCCATCCTTATCTCCCAAAACAAACGAGACCTAAGGGTATTTTTCCTTTAGGTCTGAAGTTCAAACTCCCATTAGGAGCAATCCATTCCTTGAGGTCACACTTGTGGGTTTTGCTTGAGATTTATCCGATTCATATGAAGGGAATGCGTTGCATGGGTTCCAAAATTAGTCGAGATGCATGTAAACTGATCTGAACACCTGGCAAAAAAAAAACATTATGTTAAAGATGGATTGGATATGAGTGTCGCTATTCATTACATCAACAATGTATTACCAAAAAGATGGATTGGATATGAGTGTCGCTATTCATTACATCAACAATGTATTACCAAAAATGATATAAAAAGACAATAAATATAGCATTGCTTTATTTTTATTTTTTTTAGTTAAGAAAGCACAGCTTGTCTGCAATTCAAACATCCATGTAGTTCATCCTTTGTGGGCTCACCTGTGATTTGTCTCAATAATTTAAACTATTTATTTTGTACAGAGCGATAAGAAGATCATTCTTATAAAAAAATCGAGTTGGATATCATTAAACACATGTTCAGATTAGTTTTGTTGTAAAAAAACAATGTATAGTCTATTATCGAAATTATGTATGTCGTTCAATTATTAAGAGAAATATGAATCAAGCATGTATTAAACGATATCAGATCAATTTAATTTTTTACATAAATGATCTTATCGACGATTCTTGTAAAAATAAACGAATTGAATTATCAAAATAGACTGGAGTGAGCCGACAAAGGGTGAATTGCACTGTGCCGTTCAAAATTTGGACTACAGACAAGCTGCATCCTTAGTTAATCCCAAAACATTGCTATGTCCATGAATTTGGTTTTTATTTTTTCAGTTCTGAAAAAAATTGATGATAATTAATTAAGACTAATTTAATGATCATTTTTTTTAATGGGATGGTGCAAATTATGGAGGTATTTTGAGTAATTTAGAAATATATATAAAAATTTATTTGGCAAAAAATCTTACGATATTATGTTCTCTTTATATGTAGTAATACCGTGTGTAATTCAAATAAATAAAAACAAAATAAAAAATTTATTATATATTGTGTGTTTATTAAAGTGAAATAGGGTTTTTTTTACCTAACTTACATCTTAGATTTGAATTGTATTATCTTCTCTATCTAAAAAAAAATGTTTTTAAAACAAATAAAAATAAATATATATTTTAATAAAATAAAATCATACACACAGACATTAAAGTCATTTTACTTTTTCTAAAAAATAATGTTATATGTATCAATTGGTGTACTAACTAGTGTACCAATTAATGATGTGTCATAATTTAAGAGGTTTTTGAAATTTGTAATGTAATTAATGAATGGATCAATAATAATGTCATAACTAGTGTGGGTACACTAGTTAATACATGCATGTAGTACCACCGTTTTTAAACGCCTTGTTTTAAAGCCAAGTGATAAACTACAACCTCATTAAGAACCTTTTAAATAGATTTTTTAATTATATATTTATTGTAAGATTTTTTTGAACATCTCATTACCGATGCCTTTTAATAGAAATCTAGATTAAGGCCCCGTTTAAGAATATGCTACTTTAGTAATTTTTTAACTTTTATGAAAAGATTTGTAAAAAAAAAATAAAAAGAATGATATGACGATTTATAGTGATTTTTTGGCTAAAATAATTTATCCCCAAACAAGGCCTAAAATTGAAAGACAACACTTACAGAATGGATTTTCAAAAAATTATGAGGAGATGATTTCAATTTGGGGGGCATTTATCCACACAAAGTATGAATTAACAAAAATTTCAACTAACAAAAAGCAATAACATAAACTCTCTCTCTCTCTCTCTCTCACTCTCTCTCGCGCGCGCGCACACACACTCAAAAGCAAAATTGTACATTTCATATTCCATCCGATTCAACATCTCTTCCCCACACTGCACTTATTGATTGACCAATTGAAGAAGACAAGAGGGTGAATGGTTCAAATAGTCTTCCATAATAGAATTATTTGGAAAATAGATTGTAATCAGCAGGATTGTTCTATAGAAGAAAATCCAAAAACATGCTGGGATTCTGTTGAAGACTTCATATTCTCCCACTCTTCAACAATATTCAGCAATCCAAACATCATCATCATAATCGTCATCGTCGTCGTCATCATCATCTTCCCTCAAATTTTAATGCTAAATATCTACTAGCAAAAACATAATAACGATGGCAATGATTAAATTAACTTCAATATTCACGACGAAATTTAACTTCAATAGTCACAACTCAACAAAAGATACAACTTACTGAAACATCATCCTTCAACTTTCATCCTCCAACAGGCTCAAGTTTCTAAGATGTACAAGCATGATGATAGCTAAGTTAGGATACCTGCCATTAAGATTTTTTTACAACAAATCACCGAGCAAGGAAATCAGGATGTGCACCACACCATGCAAGTGCCAGCACAAGTATATATCGCCATTATATTTTTCAAGGCTACTCTGACAGTGCTTCACTGAATGAGTTCTATTCAGTAGTTTTCAAACCCAACAAAAAAGGGAAACAAAATTCAAATTTAGTGTGCATACAGAGAGTATAAAACCAAAATTATCTAGCTCAAATTGAACACAAATCTCTCAATCCGTCTTTTCTATCTAATCAAATCCCTCAATCCAAACAGAGGGTTAATGTCACTATTAATAATACTAGTTATACCAAAACAAATGGCCAAATGAATATGTAAAATGGAACATCAAAATGATACCCAAGAGGAAAAAAAAATCCAAAAAAGTTATAATTTGTCAATTTGAAACTTGATTATAAATTGAATACAAAAAGGGGAAAAATAATCTGATCATTGTTGCCAACAAGAAGCGTAATCAGGCAATTGTAACCAGCACGAGCACTCACAGCTGGAGCAGCCATCATGAATATGTGGAACCAATGTAAACCTTAAAAAAGTAAATAGGTAGCCTGTGCACAAACAATAGGGTAATGCATAAACTAAATCCATTCATATGTAGAGATATAGATATATTTACATATCTATATGTAATTTACCGGATGAACATATAATGGTACACTGCTTCAAGTCTCAACCACAACAAAATGGCAGAATTCAATGCAGCGATGTGGAACTTCAAATCTCATTTGTCAGAGTGAAAAAGAGAACTCAAACTTGCCTACATATGACAATTTTTAATTCATGGCCTCCATGTATTCACAATGAGATAATTCAATAAACAGAGCTTAATTACAAGAAGCAAAAGAATAGGGCAACTGTATGTTGAGTCAGTATCAAAGGAAGGCATCCTTAACCAGTCCACACTCATCCTTATACCCATAATTACTTTGTAACAGCCAATTTTTCCTTATACAATTTCAATAGCTCAGGAGCTTCTTCCTGATGACAGTTGACAACCTCTGTTAGGAAAACCTTTTCAGTATACTTCAGCATAGTTGCCAAGGTAATATCATTGTTCTGAATCAAACCTTTCGACAACAAAACTTGATAAACTGCACACCTTGGAACAATCCTCTTCTCAAAACTCATTGAAATAAACCACGGCCTTCTTGCAACAAGGAAAGACCTCCAACCCATTTTATTGACAAAAAAGTCCATCACTCTCACGATCTTATGCTCGGACGCCATCATACACCATGGATACTTCCCAAAAGCCACAAGAATGTCATCCTCAGACAAGCCCCACTTCTTATAAACCTCAACCTTCTTCCCCCAAGTTGATTTACTCATTGACTTCAATGCATGAACCGCTAACACAAAATTTGATTTCGAAGGATTAAAACCCATTTTCTTTACCTCATTCACAATCTTTCTAAGCCTATCACTAGTCAAAATGAATGCTCTAGGCATGAACTTTAACATGAACAAAATTTTTGCATCTGGCACATTGGCTTCTCTCAAAATTTCAACATTGGGTAATGCACAATTTTGAAGATCAACTAAAAGAAGCCCAGCATTGCGTTTAATAGCAGAGATTGTCTCCTCTTCGGATTGTATAAAACTTTTAAAGAAATTGAAAGATGGGATTATTTGGTTTTCCATGCTTCTTTTTAAAACAGCTGGAGCTGAAGATAGTATTTTGGCAACATCAGTGCTCGAAACACCTTTAGACTTGAAGAACTGAAATTTGGGCAAAAGGGTTTTCTCCGGATCACATAAGATTACCGGAGGATACCTCCTGACGAGATTTGAGATCTGGGTTTTGGTGAAGCCGTGGTTCTCGAAGAATGCGAGGACAGAGTCAGGTTTGTTTGGAGTTTCAAATTTGACATAATTTGATGCTGAAAGAGCCTTTTCTAGAGGAAACCCACACGAGTTTATGAAGTAATTCACTGCGAATGAGTGTTGATTTGGAGTCGTTTCGAGTGATGATGATGAAAATGTGTGGATTTGAATGAAATAGAGATTATTGTAAGTAGATGAACAAGCTCTAACAGATGACCTTACATGGTGTAAAGTTCTGCAAATTAAACTAGACATTGATTGAAATTTTAGCCTAAGGAGTAGAGAATTACCTGTTCTGTAGAGGAAATCTTCACAATCTTGGAACTTTTCCCCCCCTAAGACCTTCTTTCATGAACCCTAAATTGTTTTTAAGGTAAATTACACTGAGCACCCGAAATTTGGCAAAAATACAATTAACCTATAGTTTTAACATAATTATGTTAAATTTTTTTTTTAGTAACATTATATTATGAAGATGCGCACCTCAATAAGTTGTGCACATCATATACATATTTATTTTAAGCCATTAGATTTTTACAAATAGCAATGCTAGGTATCATAAAAAATCTTTTATGAAAATAATCATGAAAGTTTTGTGATCCTTGAATTACACTTAGAATAAAACACCACACACTAATTAAGGTAATCCAAAGATCATAAATCTTTCATAATCATTTTCATGAAAAAAATTTCATGATCCCTAACTTTTTTCTTAATCTCAACCACTGAATAATTTGATTAGAAATCTCGAGTACTTCTTCAACCGATTACCATTTTTACAAATTTCTTCACCGATTGTTCTCTTTCCAGCTAAGCTCTTCACATTGTTTTCCCAAAGCCCCCTCTGTTTTTGAGACACAACTCCGACACTCTTCTTCGCCCTCGAAGACCATCCCAGCGAGCACGACCTACCATCGACTTCGCCTCAAGGTAAGACTCTATCTTTCTGCAACTTTTTTCTCTCCTCCTTTCTCCATCTCCATTCTATGAAACCCTAGACCGCAATCCCCTTCTTTGAAACTGCCCCTTTCACATTTGTGAACTCACTGGGTTGGTTTATAAAATTAAGAAAATATTAGGTTTAGGTTTTTTATGTTTGTTTGCTTTGGTAGTTGTTTTGATTCCATTCTTCGAAATCCCCTTTTGTTAACCCCTATTTCCTGTATCGATTCTTGTTTCCCACTGTTCAAAATACCCCTTTCACGTTTGTGAACTCACTTGGAGTGGTTGGAATCTAAATTTAGGAAAAGATGATATGAATAGCTTTTGTTTGTAATGTTTGTTTGATTTGGTAGTTGTTTTGACTCCATATATATAGATATATATCTTGAAATTTTGGTTGAGTTTGTGAAATCTGATGTGTAGGCAATTGAATTTTGTACTCATGTAATTGATACGAGATTGTAATTAGGGCAAATTACATATACACCCCTCCAGGTGAAAAGATGATATGAATAGCTTTTGTTTGTAATGTTTGTTTGATTTGGTAGTTGTTTTGACTTCATATATATAGATATATATCTTGAAATTTTGGTTGAGTTTGTGAAATCTGATGTGTGGGCAATTGAATTTTGTACTCATGTAATTGATACGAGATTGTAATTATTTATTTATTGAAATCTATTTATGTTTCTAATTCTTCGTTTCTTCTTATGTTATACTTCTGGTAATGGTGCTTTTGGGTTATCATTGAATGTAATATTCCCCTGCTGGATTAGTAGTTGCATATTTTACCTATACATTTCAGGATTTTTATTGATTGATGTAGAATTCTTCTCTTGATTGGATGTTGTTGGTGCATTATCTATGCACATATTCTTTTAATAGTAATTTTATATTTGTTTGAAATTTCATCAAATTGAGTAGGTTCTTATTAACATTCAAATCGTCTTTTTAGTACTAAGAATCTCCAACGGTCAAAAAATCATCCGTAAGCACTAAGAGTTGAAGAAAACTTTCTTCCGTATTGTTCTTGTTCTTTTTGAACATGGTAGAGAGGGGAAAGAGGTTGTTCGGACTCAAAACACCAATGTCGTGAACAAGCCCACAATGCCCCTTCATCTTGGCCAAGCTGGTGAACTCAGAACTACCCTCCCTCATCAGAAACTGAACTCAAACTTCCCTGTTTCAACTACTGTACCCAAATCTCAAAATTAAATCATCAATCTCTGCAAAAGTGAATAATTTTGAAATTTTAATTGTATCTAACAATACAAGACAAAATCATTTCAAAATAATCTCAAACTAAACTGCATTTGAGCAATGAGTATGTGTGGATCAAAACATGTTCACACACAAAATTGTCACTTTTATTTATGTAAGCACTCCAGAAATTCTAGGAATCATCATAATGAGTGGCACATTAGTAAACCACATTTAGTGATTCTAGTAATACAAACAGGAATGATTCTAGTAATGTAAACATGAGGTACTTCACTTGAGGTGATTTCAATCTTCTCTGTCCTCATTGATCTCTTCAAGAACGACCACAAGAGCAACTATGAAGGCGTCGTCCACGTTTGGGTACACAGTCACCACAAACGTAGCTTTTCCAAGAACAAAGCTTTGAACACTGTGTTTTCTGTGCATCTACAATTAAACAACCATTAAGAAAAACAACCCCTTTAAACATATATGATAGAGATCAACTACTTGGGTGCCATTTGGTTGTCTCAGAAACATGAATTAAGCCATTTTAAATTATCTATTTTTTGTAATCAAATCATTAGGGTCCATTTCATTAACAAGATAGTGATGGAAAATGCAAGAAAGAGAACAGAAAACAAACAAACAAACTTTGTAGTGTATGCTAAGCAAAAGAATTCTGAAAGTAAGTGTTGAAAAATGAAATATTTCATACAATCTTAAATTTCTGAACCCAGGTTTTGGTTTCCCACAAAATTTGCATGGAATTTTCTTTCCTGGGAAAGTGGGGAACGATTATCATGTTTTTCAAATTTGCCCATAGTTTCAATGAAGACGATTAAGTATAATCGAAGAATTTTCTTACAACTTCCTACTTTTCAAACTAGAAAACCAAAATTTCAAATCATTTTTCTTGAATTTTTTTCGTCCTAATCAAATGCAGGCAAAAAATTCATTTCTAGTTTCAAATTTTTTTTCATTTTTTCTTCTTTCTCCTTTCTTTCATTTTTTCTTCTTTCTCCTTCTTTCATTTCACTTTCAATCATCATTTTATTTCTAATCAGACAGACCCTTATGATGGATTTAGTTGTAAAACTGACACAACTAAAAAATATATATTCATTTGATAAACATTAAGTAGGTTTTATTTCTTTTAAAAAACATTGAATTGCTTAATCTAAATTTGGGAGATTGAAATCTGTTTTGAATAACCCCAGCTGACTATTTTAAAATAAAACAATTCGTGCAACCAAACAAGGCATTAGATGGGTTTGATCTAAAGACAAGTTCACCTGGGCAATGATGGTTGGAGTATTTCCAAGATGTATGGCACATGATCTCTCAAGCCAACTTCCCTTAACCTTGAAATCACAAACTTCTTCTTTAGTATTGGCAGCCAAGAACGCATCTAATTCGGTCTTGAATTGGATAAGTGACGACTTCTTAACACTGAAAAGCAGATCTTTGGGGTCTGAGCTCTGTCCCCTGAACAATTGCCACCTCCTATGTGCAGTCAATATCTAAAAACCAACGTCAACAAAATTGAAATATACCATTGCTTTTTTTTTTTCGTTCTTTTGGGATAAGTAAATGTTTTTTTTATTATAATATTGCTCAATGTTCAAGACACAATCCAAGGGGGTAGAGCAACACAATGTGAAAACAAACTCTAGCTCAAAGAGGAAACAAAATCAAGAACTAGACCAAAAACCAAGAATCAAGGTCTCAATTAATAAAAGAAATAGCTTCCCCAAACAAGGCTTTTCTTATACCAAACCTTACCTTTTTTACTTTAACTTCTAATAATTGTAAGAGTCAACTTTTCATGCTTGGATAAGTCTCAATACCACCCTTCCATCAACCCTAAGCGATTGGCCTAGTGGTAAAAAATTGAGGATAAAATACAAGTTCTCGAGTTCGAGTCGCCCAAGGTTTGCCCAGTCGTTAACTTTAAGGCCCCGAATTAGTAGAGGTGCATGGAAATAATACAAATTTCAGTAATTTCATTCTTACCTTTGTTTTGTTTTACGTTGGGATTGTGGATTTCTTTAAGTGTTGAAACTGAGAAGCTTGAGGGAAAAAAGAATTTATTGAGGGTTTGAATAACTTGATCTCAATTAAAATTTCAAAATAATCTCTAAAATAAGATCTTGAAGTTGTATCTTTGTGAGCCTTGATGCGTAGAGCGTTCTTGATGTGAGATAACGTGGAAGGATCAACACGTGGTTGAAATGCTTGATGATTCAAAGTATTGAGAGTTTTTTGGCGATAATTAAATTAGCATTTAATTAATTTACATTTCTAGAAAAAAATAATTGTCAAATTCTAGAACTACACTAATTCTAAATATTCCCCCTAGTGATATATTTACCTACCTCTCTAGCATACACTTTATTTTGATCGGTTGCTTATCTAGCATACACTTGAAGTCATGTCTAGGATGATTCTTGTCCATTCTTCATTTACAAAAGTGTTCTAATTCTTTGTATACACTACTTTTATTGAGGGCTTCCTACATTTATGAAATTATATTGTTTGCAGTAATCTTTTGATACTGGAATTTAATGTAATGATGTTTGTATAGCATATGCTTTTTAATAACGGATGCATAAAAAGGCAATTTAAATGTTTTACTTGGAAAATTAGTTTTCCTTACAAGCTACTGGATCCTTGACTAGGATCTGTTTCAGAACCTATTTTGCAAAAAATATTAGAATTTAACAATTTTGTTAGCTGTCATTATTGTCATCATGAATGATCTTGATAATAAAATTCTGAAATTTTATTAGAGTATGATTTTTATGATGCTCAAATGACAACATCAGCTTTTCAAAAAGGCTTTATCAAGATCAGAAACCCAATAACAAGAATCAAATAGTCAGCCTAGTTAAAAGCAACTCATCTTCCTCTTTGACAGCGAAAAGTACTAAGAATTAAACTAAGTTATGATTTTTAAGTAAAAAACAATTCTACATAATCAGGAGAAATACTCAGAAAAATGTCTCCAATGTTAAATGGTTGGATCGAATTGATATAGGGTGTGGTCCACATTGCATGAAGTTAAATTTATATCAGACATTCAAATTGTAGGCACTTTTCTACATTCATATCATTTATGTTAAGCAAGAATTATAACCAAAGCCATAGTTGTTGTCATTTATAGTTACTTACTGTATGATGTATAACTTCATGTGACTATGATATATGGATTGATGTTGGCTTAAATAATTTGGAAAATACACTCACAATTTTATTTTCTTTCAAATTTGTTTGGAAAATAATACACTGGCACAAACTTGAAAGAAAGAAATACAATTTGTGACATAAATAGGTATTAAAATACAACTTTTTCACAGATATGCTTATACAATCTAAACTACAACTTGTACTATTAAATAAGACAAAAAAAAAAAAAAAGAGAAAGAAAGAAAGAAAGAAATGTGCTTTGCTTTTATGACGCTGAAAACAACATATTTCCTTAATGTTATGTTTAGATCATGGATTTAGTTAAGGATTTGGAAAGGGAAAGGGAATAAGTGTGTGAAATGCAATCATATTTAATTCACATTTCACCTACATTTATCTTTTTTCTTTTAAATCTCTACTCAAATCCATGATCCAAACACAACATAATGGTTCTATGAAGATAAGAAAACCCAATAACAATAATCCAAATCTAATAGTCAAATATATGAATAGGCTGGATACTGAGTTATCAAAAAAATAATCCAAATCTAATAGTCTAATAGTCAAATAGTGTATATTGAAAGTTGCTGTTGTGGGGCCACATTCTAAATGAATCTTGACTATTGATGTGAAATTTAGGAGAGTTTTTTTATTATTTTTTTTCTTGGAATCATAGCATTGTTATTTTTGGTTTACTTAACTCACGTGACACGAGATACTAATTACTAAATTTTTAATACTTTTTATTTTCTTTTTAATATCTTTTACAAATTTTTATTAAAATTCAAAATTCAAATACTGCCTAACGATATTTATTCTTTAATTGAGTGGCATGACATTGGCATGTGTACTAAACTACTAACAGAGACTGACCAAGTGTATAGATTATAGAGAATCACAACACCGTTTTAATGTTTTTATTACCCAAATAAGCTCAAATGCATATGGGTTTCACTATTAGCTATGATAAATATTGCTTTTTCATATGGCTCTCCAACTATGCCAATATCTTCGGTGGTATTGAGTGCAAAACCACCAAAGGGTTTGTGCACCTGGTAGCTCTTGTTGGTGAAACCATACGTGGATCCTATATGCATCCCAAAATTATTTCTTGTTCAAGAAATATCCTCCTTCATCAACCACATTGGATCCCATCAATGTTATATTTAGAAAGGAAAAAAAATTAAAATTTAAAATATACGGATTTGTGGGGGTCGAGAAGAGGGAGTCGTAGAGATTCCGAATAGTCGAATCTCGGAGAGTCGAGATTCGAAGCACTCGGCAATTGGCTCGTAAGCTCAAATCCAACCCTATTCGCCCAAATAACCGATTAGGCAAGGGGCCGAGTGAAGGTCAGTCTATTATAAAATATGCCGAATATGAGTTGGAAATGGACCTAATCCCGAGGCCCATGGAAGAAAAGATATAAATAGAAGAACATCAGCCAGAAAGAGGTATGTGAGAATTATTGTGCTTAACTTAGAATACAAGTATTCTTGAGTGGAGACACTGACTTGTCCGTCAGAGTGCTGATTCCGGCACCCCCGACCGGAGTGTGTATTCATTTTCAGGTGACTATCAGCGGATCTCGAGCGCTCCCCAGGATCAGAAGAGTATTTCCAAAACATATCTCCACAATTGGCGCCGTCTGTGGGAATACTCAAGCACATCCATGGCGAGCGTAACGGAAGATCTTCCGACAGTCACTGTCGACCCTATACCGCAAGATGAAACCACTCCAACAAACATGCTTGGAACAGAGACTATCGCCGCAAGACGTGCCTTGAATTTCGCCTGACCCTCGACTTCGGAGCACGAAGCAATGCAAGCGATCCTGCAATAAGCCAAGCAAAACGAACAAAGATTAGAGAACATGATTGCAGAGAATGAACATCTCCGTCAGGATTTGGCCTTGGAGGTGGCGAAGTGCAAACAATCTGCATACCAAGGCCTGGGACGACCCGTGAGAGTAGCTGGTCGACATTCTAGAGCCCGACAACAAGATACTGATCGCAACTCCGACTCATTATCCGCGGAGCCCAAGAAGAAGAGACGATCTGAAATTTCCAATTCTTCTGAAGAGAGTCCCTGTACAAGGCGTAAGCGAAGAAGAAGCAGCTCGGATGTTGATCAACACGATCCTTTTGTACGACGGATTGCAAAGGCAGTGCTACCCAAGAAATTCAAAGCACCGTCATTCACCTTGTACGACGGTAAATTAGTACAAGATGGTCGGCTACAACGGTACGTCCGAAAAGGCAACCCAACCAAAGCAATAGCCGTGACATAGGATTTACATGCGCTCCACGTGATCCACATGATATACAGCCTGCCAATGTCATCAGCGGTGCACGCGATTCAGTCGAAGTCTAACCCTCAAGAGCAACTCACTCCGGCTAAACGGCCCCATGAAGCCGAGGTTATCACTTTCGATGATTTGGATTTGGCCGGAGTGACACTGCCCCACATTGATCCCTTGGTAATTGAGTTACGCGTAAACAGATTCACAGTTGAGTGCGTACTCATTGATTCGGGGAGTACATCGGAGATTGTGTACTACAAGACATTCACTAAACTTGGCTTCTTCGAATCGGATCTCTCTCCGGCCCCTTATCCACTATTCGGCTTCAACGCCAATCTAGAGTACCCATTGGAGAAAATCAGACTTCCCGTTCGAGCAGGCTCTCGAACAGTGGATGTGGGATTCTTGGTCGTCAAGCTGCTGTCGCCGTATAATCTCATCATGGGGCGATCCTAGTTGCATACTATGCGAGCCGTGCCCAGCACCTATCATCAGCTGCTCTGCTTCCCTACAGAACGCGGTATTAAGCAAATCCGTGGCTCCTAGAAATCGGTAAAAGCATGTTATCTCCTCACGGAGAAAATGACAAAGGAACTACAGGTGAATTCCATTGAGTTGCTAGATCGAGAAAGCCTCGACGATGTCAGGCGGCTCCCAAATGAAAAGGCAACGGGAGACGTGGAACGAGTTCAAATCGATGGAAGCCCAGACAAGTTCTTTATGGTCGGCGCCTCCTTGAATCAAGCCGACAGACAGCAGCTAATATCTTTTCTGCTCAGCAACCTCGATGTCTTTGCATGGACTCTGTACGAGATGTCGGGTATAGATCCGTCAGTTTTACAGCACCATTTGAATGTCGATCCTAAGTGCAAGCCGATCATTCAGAAAAGCCGGCGGTCAGCCACAGAGCACACTGTCGCCGTTGTTGAGGAGGTTGACAGGCTGCTTGACGCCGGAGCAGTTAGGGAGGTGACCTACGCTACATGGCTCTCTAATACAGTGGTGGTGAAGAAGAAAAATGGGACTTGGTGAGTGTGCGTCGACTTCACGAACCTAAACAAAGCCTGTCCAAAGGATTGTTTTCCTCTTCCCAGGATAGACCAGCTTGTAGATGCTACGGCGCGCCATCAGTGTATGAGCTTCCTTGATGCCTATAGAGGTTATCATCAAATCGCTATACATCCGGAGGATCAAGAGAAAACTGCATTCCTCACCCCAAGAGGATCCTATTGCTATATGGTAATGCCTTTTGGGTTGAAGAATGCAGGGGCAACCTACCAGAGACTGGTCACCACCATGTTCAAGGAGAAACTCGACAAAACTATGGAAGTATACATTGACAATATGGTGGTTAAGTCCAAAGAAGAGCAGAATCATATAGCCGATTTGGAAGAGACATTCGGCATCCTACGCAAATATGAAATGAAGTTGAACGCTTCCAAATGTGCGTTTGGTATCGGCTCTGGCAAATTCTTGGGCTACATTATCAACCACAGAGGAATCGAAGTCAACCCAAGGCAAATCACAGCAATCCTGGAGCTCGGCTCCCCTCGTTCAGTAAAAAAGGTTCAAAAGTTGATGGGGATGGCTGCCGCACTCAACAGGTTTATCAGCCGGTCCACAGATCGCTGTCGACAATTCTTTCATACACTACGGCAGGGCAAGGCCTTTGAATGGTCCGCCGAGTGCGAAGCCGCTTTCAACGGCCTGAAGACCTACCTCCGCTCAGTACCACTCCTGACAACACCCTCTGCTGGCGACCTGCTCATTTTGTACTTGGTAGTTTCTAACCGAGCCGTTAGCGCCGTATTGATAAAGGAAGAGATGGGGGAGCAGCGGCCAGTGTATTATGTGAGCAAGGCAATGGTTGACGCCGAAACACGCTACCTTCCGCTGGAAAAGCTCATCCTAGCCCTAGTTATAGCGGCAAGGAAGCTCATGCATT